TTGAAGCACCAGCCTTCTGGTTAACAGTCAGATGCCTTAGGCACTACGCTACCAGAGCTCCTAGGCTTATGACTAGTATCTGTAAAAGACTGACAGGCAATGTTTCAGGAAAAATGGACCTACCTCTTTATGGTCCTGATGAACACAACTTGGCTCTCAGATGACTGCTGATCTCTCAAAGAATAGAAAGTAGAATGGCATCATGAAAGTGATATAGTCCTTAGGGCCATCCAGAAATGGAATCATGGCACCATCCCTTACTGTGATCTAAGACAAATGTCTTCAATAAAGTTAAATGAGGGAACTTGAGTTTGTTCATTTATAAGCTGCAACTAATAAAATGTACTATGTGAAGTATGTATGTACTTAAGATTATGAAGTTTGGCAGAACAATATACAAATGTCCTAGTATGGTGCCTCACTCATCATAGGCACTTAGTCAATATTTATTCTCTTTCTCTAGCATATTTGTCTTTGAATTCACGGTGTGGTCCCTAGCCAACTCTTACTAATTGTTCGTTTGAAGAATAAATGCTTCTCTCTTTCCCAGATTGGATTATTACTAGGGATTCTTTCTGTGCACTGTGTATATGTGCTCTTCGATGCTAGTACACAGTACACATATGATCACTTATCCCTTGAGTCTCTTGGTGGGATGGTCAGCATCCGGGGTGACAATGCTACCCTGTCTGCCACAAGAGGTGAGGAAAGGTAACACTCTAAGATTCTGCTTCTTGGATATGGAAAACAAGGTGGCAAATCTCAACCCCTTTTCCACTAACTGAGGATGTCCTGTATGATTACCTACTGAGTACTTGTTGTTTTTGTTATGTGCCGTCAAGGCAGACCTGACTCACAGCGACCCCTCCTTGGGTTTCTGAGGCAGTGTCACTACGGAAGTACATCGCCCAACCTTCCTTCTAAGGAGTGGCTCGCCCAACCTTCCTTCTGAGGAGTGGCTGGTGGGTTTGAACCACCAGCCTTCTGGTTAGCAGTCAAGTGCCTTAGGCACTA